GAGAGGGAGAGGAGAGGGAGAGGGAGAGGAGAGAGAGAAAGAGAAAGAGAAAGAGAGAGAGAGAGAGAGAGAGAGAGAGAGAGAGAGAGAGAGAGAGAGAGAGAGAGAGAGAGAGAGAGAGAGAGAGAGAGAGATTTAAATCCAATATTTAAACTTGAATTTATAAACGCAAAAACAGCCATGGCCGGTCACGTGACTGATTTGAATAAAATGACTCTAATCATGAATACACGCGGGAATGGATGAATAAACCATCTGTGAAATATAATTACAGTATAGAACGTATTCCATTTTTTTAAATACGTTCTGAAATTTTTTCCACTTATATTTTAGCTTTTTTCTTCTTTTTTCGTAGTTTTTTCTCTCTTTTCTTTTAATTCGATTACATTATTTTGGTATTTTTTTGTGTTCATCTTTTTCTTTTCTTTTTAATTCTATCTATTACATCATTTGCAATTTTGATATTTTATTTAAATCTGTCCCTCCGACCAACTTTTTTTTCAAATAAGTGAATGGATCCGTACAGCCGGTAACTGTCATTAGTGAAATGTTCTAATTAATCAGCCCTGATTGTCAGTCAGACTTACTAAACTGACCCCTATGATCAGGGAAAATGGATAGAGAAGTAATTAACAGATGAGAATCGAAGATGAAGTGTAATTAGGTGAAAACAGTGCTATGCGAATAATTGTATAAATTCATTTTGATGACATTACGTACTGCGAATTATAAAGATATATATTATATATATATATATATATATATATATATATATATTATATATATATTGTGTGTGTGTGTGTGTGTGTGGTGTGTGTGTGTGTGTGTGTTGTGTGTGTGTGTGTGTGTGTGTGCGTATGTATGTATATATATTTATAATATATATATATATATATATATATATATATATATATATATATGTATATATATATATATATATGTATGTATATATATGGGTGGGTCCTTCATGCTCAGGGTGATGTGAAGCGATGGTGTGGTAGCCTGATAATGTTAAGTGCTTGCATGCCTTCTCGCTTGCAGCTGCCACCACTGGCTGGTCTGGTGCGAAAAGGGAGCAGCTGTGCATAAGACTCTCCTGCCAGCTCATAGCCTCTCCATCATCGAGACTTCTGCAGTGCCTCCTCGTGGTCACCCATGGAAACTAGGCACCTTGTGGTCCTAGGATAAACTGTGGAGGCTCTTGGAACATCAGGAGGCCCTAAAGGTTCAGAGTCATAGCCAAGAGCCCTACTTACAGTCAGCCAAACCTCACTATATGGGGCAAAATCAGTGGGGGTGGCAGAGATGGCGTCCATCCAGAGCGCCTGTTTGAGGCTTAATCTTAGGGTGGGGGCTTGGAGCGCCCATTCTTAGCGACAGGATAATCGGTTGCCTCTGTTGTCCAGGGAACTGAGGTGTCTGAGAGGTGAGGTGCCTGCTCTCGGAGGTGAGAAGACCCGGCAGCGGATGGCTACACCTATTACTGGTCAACCTGCAGCGATGGTCACCATCTTTAGGAAGTAGCCATAGCCATTTCCAGCTGACTCCAGCCCTCGGCTACTCTGGTCGATGAGTGTATAATGGCATTGAGACTACAGCTTGCATTTGGTTTTTTGTCTCATTGCTGTGTACGCTCCTGCCGACGTTTGCCAACTCGACATAAAAATGTTTTACGCCAAACTTGCATCTATGGCGGACACACACACACGTATTTATATATTTTATTTTATTCTTTCAGCCTCCTTTTCTAAATTCCCGAGACTTTTTCCACTTCGTCCTGCTTCCACTCTCCCAGTACCAATGCTCTGAAACTCACCGACTCAACAGGAATCGCCTTACTGTTGCTTGAGATGTGTATCATGATGGGGAGAGGGTGGGCTATACCATACCACGCTGGCCCAGTGGGGGTGGTAGAGGCTCTCATTTTCGCCTTTTTACTACATGCAGCGACATACGTTGGAAGTATTATTTTCGCATGTAGGCAATCGAGGTGAAGTTCCTTGCCTAGTGATATATATTTACACATACACATATGTATATATAAAGCACAGCAGTGGTTCCGCGGGCACGCCGCCCTGATTGGTCACCCCTGCTGGTTGGAGAGCGTGACATACTTCCGACCTTTTCCTGACCTCAAAAAGCACTCCACACCAAGCCACGGTCCTGTCGGACGCTGCCTCTTCCCGGGGCCGCCACACCAGTCCCCCGCCGGGCCAGCCTCTGCCCGGCACGACACTGCAAGAGCCGGTCATCCTCAACCTCGACCTCAAGCCACCTGCATCAAGAACAAACCTCCGAACCCGATCGTGCGGTTCCCTACAACCGCCGGCGGAGGAATACCACCGCTAAGCCCTCACAACCTGGTGCCTGAGGTAGAATCCCCAGTGACACCTCACATATATATTAATCTATTTATTCATATTTATATTTCTATACATACATATATATGCTTGTGTGTGTGTGTGTGTGTGTTTGTTTGTGTGTGTGTGTGCAGTATGAGAAAATGATATGATATATTATATACAACACATTCAAATATAATAACAGTACACAGTCTATTCAAAATTTTCTGCTGCTTGTTACGTGTGCGTGTTACTAATTCAGACTTAACGGTAGCGTGCGCCTCAGTCTGACATTAATATGACTTGTTGTGCAATGCATATTTTAATTGTAATGAATTATGCATATGTAAAGCGCACGTGTGTGTGTATGTGTCTGTATTTGTGTGTGTGTGTATGTATGTATGTGCGTGCGTTCGTGCGTGCATGCGTGCGTGCGTGCGTGCGTGTGTGTGGTGTGTGTGTGTGTGTGTGTGTGTGTGTGTGTGTACTTTGAATATGGGAATGTGCCTGTCTATGTGTGTGACCAGCCTGCGTGAACTTTTTTTTTTATATACAAACGGTTCAAAAAATCCTGCAAATGGTCATATGAGACCAGCTCCATAAACCATTTCTCAGGGCAAAATTATTGCTAATTGAAAATGCAGTTTCAATTTTCCCCTCAATCCAATAACCCCTTCAGGGAGGAGGGGGGAGGGGAGGGTAGTGTAGGGGGGAGGGAGGGGATTGGACGTGCGAGAGGGAGAATGGATAGGGGAAGAGGAGGGGAGAGAAAAATGAGAATGGGAGGGGGATGAGGGGAGAGAAAGAAAGAGGATGGGGGTAGATTGGGAGATAGATAAGGGAGAGAAAGAAAGGGGTGGGGAAGAGAATGGGAGAGAGAAAGAAAGGGGATTGGGGAGAGAATGGGAGGGGGATGAAGCGAAAGAAAGCAGAGAGAGGAAAAAAAGATGAGAGGCACGAGGGGAAAGAGAAAGGAGTACAGAGAAGGGAGGGGAAACAGAAGGAGAAGGGAGAGAGAGAAAAGAGGGTGGTGGGATGAGGGGAAAAAGGAAGGGAAGGAGAGAGAGGGGAAACAAAAAGGGGAGATGGGGAGGAGAAAGGAAAGGGGATGGAGGAAGACTGAAAGGAGAAAAGAGAGGATAGAGGAAGAGGATATGGAAAAGATGAGGAGAAGAGGTAGCGCAAAGGAGAGGGAAGGGGGGGGACAGGAAGGGAGAGGGAGAGGAGGAAGAAGCCCCAACACCCTGTCATTGAGAATCACCAAAAGCGATTTTCACAACTCTGTGCCGGAATGTCATCAATCCCCAATGGACTTTCGATACAAACTGTATATTTCCCCTTTATAGAAAATAATCTAAGAGCAAAAGGATCCCAAAGCAATAACAACTGCATGACTGGTTTTGCAATAGTGGCGGCAGCGGTGATTGCAAAAGTGATTGCAGTCCAAAGGTAAAAAAAAAAAGTAAAGACGAGGAATAAAATGCTAAAACTGATAATAAAAACGGCTTTCGAATAGATATATCCTTTTAATTCCGTCATTAACTTTGATGATAAAATTACCTAGCAAAAGGAATAACAGTTATGTTAATGGTACCTATGTAATTGACTGTCATAATAATGTCAGTTGCCATAATACTGTTCCGGAATTAGAAACAAGATTATTCAAGTGGTCGAATATTTATAATTCTGTTTGTGATAATATTAACTATGCAATGTTGATTAATATATTCAAGTGATAATTATGTCTGTAATGATATTGATGTGATGTTTGTCATATTATTATGTTAATGATAATCGTGTTTACGTTTTCATGATGATCATTTTGGCTGTAATGATGAAAATAATTCTGGTGAAGCAGAAAATAATGTTGGTGATGAAAAAAATGACGTTGGTGATAATGTGTGTTAGTATGATAACAAGATTTGTGATACTGATAATGCTGTGTGTAATACCGAAGATATATACTGTGGTGATTATATATATGTTTATATATATATATATATATATATATATATATATATATATATATATATGTGTGTGTGTGTGTGTGTGTGTGTGTGTGTGTGTGTGTGTGTGTGTGTGTGTGTGTGTGTGTGTGTGTGTGTGTGTGTGTGTGTGTGTGTGTGTGTGTGTGTGTGTGTGTGTGTGTGTGTTGTGGTGTGTGTGTGTGTGTGTGTGTGTGTGTGTGTGTGTGTGTGTGGTGTGTGTTTTATAATGAACGCGTAGACGAAAAAAAAAACCGTACGTTTTCGCTTTGCTTCCTCATGACACTCTATACTGGGGATAGTGATAGTTCATAGAGGTAGCAACTACTCGGTCCATTCGGTGACGGCTTTGGCTATTTGGTGACTCTCCAGTGTCTCGTTTCCGCCATGAGTGAAATGTGTTAGTGCCCCCTCTGCCTTCTCCCTCTGTCGTTTTATGGTCGAGGCAGCAGTCGGCGACGATAAGAACGACGCGCCCCTTGTTGCATGCTGAAGGGAATCACCATAGTGGCTGTTCCGTTGATCTTAGAGACCTCATCTTGCCTCAGCCATGTACCCCTTGTTAGAATCTTGTAAGAGCATGTTCTTCTAAGAAGTGTACTCCCTCCCCTCTCCCCTCCCTCCGCCCCCCCATATCAGCCCCTCCTCGTGTCCTGATAATGCCCAATGTTACCTGAGGGAAGCGATTAGGGCGTGTGTCGACGAGATAGGGGCGTTGAGAGGCCGCCTTCCGGGAACCCTCCTCCTTCCCCTCAACCTCGTCCTCGAGTTCAAGAAAGATGATGAGTAGTAGTTGGCGGGGCCCGAGAGGCTGT